CAAAAATGCCCGCTGTGGAAAATAAAAAGTGCCCGCCGCGGTAAATCGTGGGATTTACTGTGACGGACAAAAATAGGAGCCCGCCACGGAGACCTTCGGGACGACGCTGCGCAAATTGAATTTTGTAGTAGTGGTTGGAATGGCGACATGGCGGTTTAGGGGCTTTGGCGGGTGTGTTAGGCTGTGGCCGCGGAGCTCCGGCAAAATCCTAGTACGTCGCGGTGGGACGGTGGGAGGCGGCGGGAAGAGGGGCACGGGAGAGGAGGAGGGGCGCCGGAGAGAGAGCTGGTGGCACGAGGAAGAAGGCAGCCGTACGCGTCGCCTAACACACACGGTCGTCCGTTTTTTAGCCATGTCCTATTAACTTTAAAAAAATCAATGAAATTAATGGGGATCACATTGCACCATTAGTAATCACCATTCTTCTTAAGCGGAGGTTCTTTCATGGTTCTACGTTACCAAAGTAAAAACGAAAAATGGGAGTCTCCGTTGTGAGCTAGAGGCGCTCTGCCTGTTCTTCTCCCTTCCCTTCCCTTTCCTAGCAACCCCAACATCCAGATCCCCTCCGGCGCACCCGGTGGCGACTCATCTTGCGGCATTCAGGGTCACGCCTCTGGAGCCTTCAGCCTGGTGGCCTCGCCCTGAGCCGGCACTGTCCGAATCTAGGCACTGCTTGCCTGCGAGCGTCTGCTGCAGACCGGCGACGATGCTGGCCCGCCGGTGGAGGGCAGGAGGCGAGCGGTGGTTTTTGGAGCAAGCCTTGTTGTTTCGCTTGGGATTCCTTTCGGTTCTCCTGTACTCCAGGGTGGGTCCCAGCTACTGTGCTGTGGGGCCTGCAATTGCTACGTGCTCCACATGCAGCTGGTTCTGATGTCCTTCTCGGCTCTGTTGTTGGCTGGAAAAACAGCTATGGCTGATGCTGATTTATTGTGAGAGAAAAACACTATTGTTTTGTTAAAATGGTACGACTGATAAGTTTAAGAAAACAGGGCCAAGGCAGTGCCTCTACGTCTCTCGCTCTCTTTCAATTTGGATGGCATGTAATGCGGCATGCAGAGCATCTTTTCGTTTTTCATCTTCCTGCTTTTTTGTTCCTCTACAGACATGGAGGTGGTGAAGCAGCTAGTAGTGTTTGGTTGACCGCCAACGTCAGTTGATGATGTGGATCCATTTTCTTGAGTCCAGTGAAGTCTCCATTCTATCTACGGCTCAAGACTAATTATCCTTGAATACATAAGCCGATCAGACAGTCGAGAGGAGCGCCAACTGTTCTATCGGAGTGCGAGAACGAGGACCCTTGATGTTTCTATCGTGGGCACTTCTCGTGGGCCCTATGGCCCCGACGACCCCACGCCCCCGACAGAAGCATCACCCTACAGAAGCAATTCAGCAGTAGTTTTTTCTATAATCTAGGAATTCTTTTCTCACACCGGTGTAATGTGCTTTAACGTTATATATTAAGAGTTGTTGTAAAAAAAGTAAAAAAGAAAATTTTCTAAAAAAAAGTAAAAACGAAAAAAAGAGACGAAAACATTTCATCCGAAACACAGAAAATGCGTTGTCCGACGTGGCACTGGCACACCATCCTCCCATGCTACCAATGCCACCAACTTTTTTATTTTTAAGCCCTTTTTTTAAAAAAAATCACAAATATGTCTCTGGAGGTATGATTTCAAAATCTGGAGCCTTAGCTCGGCGCCATCGTTGGTGGCGTCGAGCTTACACGTCTCAGTGCCATCGTTGCTGGCGCCGAGGTCTTGGGCTCGACGCAGACGTGGCGGTGACTTGGCAGGCAGCTTGGCGCTGTAGATCCTGGCGCCGAGTTTGGCGCTGTAGATCTTGACGGCGAGCCTAATGCCAATATCTATGGCGCCGAGGTGGTGTTTTAACCCGGCCTCCAACCTTCCTGCCCGAGCCTTCTTCCTCTTCTTTCTCCTCCCTCTCGAATTTTTTCTCTTTCCACTTCGTCCTACCTCACGAATCGACATATTAGATCTTAGAAACTTTGATTTGATCCGTAGATCTTCGAGAGCAAGGTATCATCGCTCCCTTCCTAGTTTTTTTGCATCGATTCGGTATATATTAGTCGGATTTTTCAACCTAAGAATCGTCGTTACTTAGGGTTTCATGCAATTTTTAATATTTGTATTATACAATAATAGGATGCCAAGGCATGAAAAAGCTAGCAAACGAAGATAACCTCAGCGCATGTTATTATGTTATGGGTTCATTGTTGTGCATCAAATGGGAAACCCTAGGTTTAGGGTTTAATGTTAATTGCTTTTGGTTCTTAGAACGAAATTGGTTGAATTGTAGTTATGTCTGGATGACCGAAAATGCCTTCGACCCATTGCCCTCTGCCTAGTGGTGTTCCAGTGCCCATGTGCTTGTGCGGCGATCCTTGTAAGGTAGCCAAATCCGATAAAGATGATACGTATAGACAGAGGTAATGGATGCGTTTTAATTTTGCGTTTAAGCCTACACTTCGTCAGCGCGCTCATTAACAAGATGGTGATGATTTGATGTTTGTGTCATATGATATCTTGCATGATTTTTTTGTTTTGTAACAATTATATTTTTTGCAGACCCCTCCACCGCTCTGTGATTTTGAGCAGTGGATCGACACTGAGATCAAGCCTGAAGACAAGGAATGGATGCAGAAACTATTGCGGTGGGAGGCAGAGGACAAGGAGATAATAGAGAAGAGACGCGAAGGGAAGGCTATAAAAAAGGAGCACAAGGAAGAGGAGAAAAGGAGGCATGTTGCTGCGTACAGGGAGGAGAGGGAGAAGAAGCTTGAGCGTGCACGCCGAGCGAAAGCAGCGATGGAGGAGAATCCCGATGCCCTAAGGAAGGGAAAATGGTCTTGTTGCACTCAGTAGTCTCCATGACTTGCTAGTTCTATGGTTTATTCATAAACAATGTTGTCTACTGTCGGTACGTACTTCTTGTATTATTATGTTGTTTAATGTGGCATAGTATTGGATTTTTCATTATATAGTTGTTTTCATTATTTGTGGTCATAATATTCAGTATAATATTGCGGACGTAGTGAAATATGATCACGTGCTGCAAACAAAACCTAACGAAGTAGGGCATTATATAATTCAACACACAAAACACATGAAATGGCATGTGAGGACATGTACCGAACTAGGGTATAGAATTCCTTCAACTAAACCTAATATGCCTTAGATAATTAAACCAAACAACAAACACATGGATGTGTCATGTGAATAAGATAGGGTCGTCCTAGTAGTGTGGCCACATAGCAAATTGTGTTACACCTTCTCCATAGTAGTCTCCCATTGTTGGTGGTGGTGGCGGCGGGGGTGGCGGCGGAGGCCCCTTGTTCTTGTGGTTAGGGCAGGTGCAATGTTGATCATTGCAGAGTACCTCCTGTGAATCGGCACTATTATTGTTGTCGCCCTGTTCGTCGTCCTTGTAACCGCTGCCAACTTCCCTTTCTAGATCGAAGATACGGTTCTGCAGGTAGCAGATGTACTCCGCATGCGGATAAATAGGTAAATGATCAACCCACCTAGTGAATGCATAGTTTTCTTCGGGCAAGGAAGACTGCAATAAATATGTCATGTAAGTTGTATAGAAGAGGAATATATTGAAGAAACAAATAGTAATAGCAATTACCCATGCTCGTGGGCATTTGAAGAAACAACGACCTCCATCTATTCCCTCGGTGAACATCTGCACTAGGCAGTCCTCACCATGCATGTATTTTGGCCACTCTTCTTTTTGTTCATCGTATCCTCTCAGTGGTGCTTCTTTGATGAAATCACTTTTGTTCTAAATTGGGAACCTCTCATAAAGAGTTTTTTTAAAGAAATTAGAACCAAGAGAACCCTTCCACATAATGGTAGTTCCCTTCCTCTTTCTTCTTTCTTTGGACGACCCTCCAGATATTGGTACTGCAACGAAAGAAAATACTAGTTGGGAAGTAAGTAACAATGCATCTAGCATTGCGTATATATAGGCAGAGGCATGTTTAGTTGTCGTTTCAATGTGTTATAACTGGTCATAAGAAGCCTAATTAGTTTCATTGAAGAGCCTATTTCAATGGACACTGTAAAGCCTAGATTCGTTTTCTAAAAAGTCTATTCGTCATTAACATGATAAATCACTGAAAAACCTAGATGCTATAGGTGTACTATATAAGTGAAGTGATAAATCACTGCTGTCATCGTACTCCCCGGAGCAGGGGCCATGTCGCGCCCGGGGTCACCAGAGGGAGCGCCTATGCGCGCGGTGGACACGGCGAGCCAGACTTTACGAGGCGGCGCGGTCGAGAGGGTCACACGAGGAGGCGGGATTTTTCCGGGCCAAGCCATGAGGCGAGGCGAAGCGGTCGGGGCAAGTTCAGTCTGTTCATTTGGTCTTGGGGGGGGGCACGCGGGCGGGAGTCTGTGAGGCGGGCTACCGTTCGTTGGCCGCGAGAGAGAGGAATAGAGAAAGGAAGGGAGAGACCATACGTAAGACAGAGCTTGGCACCGATAACCATGTCGTCAAGCTCGGCGTCAAGATCTACGGCGCCAGGTTTGGCGCCAAGTCACCGCCACGTCTGCGTCGAGCCCAAGAGCTCGGTGCCAGCAACGATGGCGACGTGTACCGAGCTGGGGTCCAGATTTTGAAATCATGCCTCAAGGATACATCTGAATTTTTTTTTTAAAAAAGGGCTTAATTTTTTTTTTCGGCCAATGCCACCCATGGACGCATCCATCCGCTTCACTCCTCCACCTCCTCCGTCCCTCCCTTCCTCCCACCAGCGCTCGTCCATCCACCGCCTCCCTACAATAAAAAAACCTCCGAATCAGCCTCGCGTGCCCCGTCGTCCTCGTCGCCGGCGGAGCCGCCCGCCACCTCGCACCGCCGCCGAGCCACCTATCGCCGGAGAAGGAGCGCCGCGGGGAGCTATTCCACTACCGCCTCCCATCTGAGCGACCCCTCCGAGATCGGAAGCGCCGGCGCCGGCGCCGGCGGGGGCCATGGCGGTCCCGCTCGTGCTCGTCGTGCTCCCGCTTGGCCTGCTCTTCCTCCTGTCCGGCCTCATAGTCAACACCATCCAGGTACCCGCGCCCTCCCTCCCTCCCCACCGGGGCCCGCCCAGCTCGATTTGTGTTCCTTTTTCGGCGGCGCCTGGGGTGATCTGATGCGGCGGCTGAGCAAAAGATTCTATTTTGTTTCCTTTCCTTCGAAGGTGTCGCCACGGACATTTTAGTTTGTTCGCTTCATGAATGATGATTGTCGCGCGGTGTAGGGTAATTCCAGCTGATGTGCGTTAAAGATTTACAGTTTCCCCATGTGATTTATTTTGTCCCGATGGTTCCAGGCGAATTTTACTCAAAGATGTGTCTTTTAGATGGAAAGCTTCATGTCGATTTGTTAAATTTCGTTATAATTGCCGCTTTTGTAAAATAAATTTACTACTTCCATTTGACTGCGGCCACGAACGGGGTACTATACACCCATAACTTCCAAATGTGTTAAGCTTTCTTTGATCCGTTTGTATGTGCGCGTGGAAATTTCAGGCCATCCTATTTGTGACAATAAGGCCCTTTTCGAAGAGCTTCTACCGCCGGATCAACAGATTCTTGGCCGAGCTGCTGTGGCTTCAGCTTGTCTGGGTGGTGGACTGGTGGGCAGGTGTTAAGGTACACGCAGATATGACCAGCACCAAAGCAATTTTATTTTCGCATTTCATTTCTAGTAGAAAGATTGATTTGTAACGTGTCCTCCTTCAGTATCAGAACTCAAACTTACATTTGTGCCTGCAAGTTGCAGCATTCTGTTGGTTTGCTATATTCAACCTTTCTTGTAGTGTCATACGATGTGTTTTTGAAATGTTCTTCAATGGAAGTACGTGGTACTAATGAACAAGCTGAGTTAAATAGCTGTTTTCAGTGTTGCATCGTAACTGAATCTGGTAGATGGATATTCCAAACTAAATAAAGTAAGCAAAGAAGTTTCAAGAGTTTAGGACCCACACATCACGTTCATAAAACAAAGTTGTAAAGGCAATGTCGGCAATACTAGTAGGGACACTGATAGAGATTGACAACCTATGTTGGCTAGAGTTGAGTGTGATGTTTGTGAAGATTCTATTTGGAATATTTGCATGGATTGAATCATTGAAATGTTACTTTGGTGAGCTTTTTGTTGCATATGCACGAGAAATTAGAAAGTTAGTCATATAATCATATTGTGTATGAATTTCCAGTATTGTTGGGGTGGTTAATGGTCTGGCTTGTCAAACTAAGAAGGAAAGATAGTTAATTTTTTATCTTGCATAATTGTGGCAGTAAATTAGACGAACTATGGAAAAGAAACAAATTCTGATGAGTAACATTTTTTTTATATAAATGGCTTAAATGTGTATCAATTGAATTGCTAATTGAGGATGTTTTTTCTACCTTTTTCATCAGCGGATCTAAATGAACATACTTCTTAAGCACTTAGCATACAAACTTCATGTTTGAGTGATGTTTATGAAGCAAGCATTGTTTTTTTCCTCCTGATCCCAGAATAACTTCAGCTTATGTTCTGCAGGTACAACTGCATGCAGATGAGGAAACTTACCGGTCAATGGGTAAGGAGCCTTTTATTAATAGGTTCATTGTTTGCATTCTCCTTCATGCAAGCTTAAGGAAAAAAGTTTGGATTACAAGCTTATCTGAATAATTTCACAGGTAAAGAGCATGCACTCATCATATCAAATCATCGGAGTGATATTGATTGGCTTATTGGATGGATATTGGCCCAGGTTGTTATCTCCCAACTTCTGGATAGTTGTTAGAAATTTAGTTTGCTCACAGTTCACACTGTTTAGGTTTATTTGGATTAACTGATGAATAATATGAGACTCCTGTTTTCTGGGCATGTGTTCAGCGCTCAGGGTGCCTTGGAAGTGCGCTTGCTGTGATGAAGAAGTCATCCAAGTTCCTTCCAGTGAGTTAGTTCATATGTATATTTCTGTAACATGTAGTTTTACAATTTATATTCACATCGGAGTTCTGTTGATTTAATGTAGGTTTAAAAAAAACTATTTGTGGCATAAGTAAGCAACATAAAAAAATATATTTTTGGGTATAGACTTGTTTATCTAGTTTCAAAAAATCATAATGCTACATTGCTTTGTCATGTTCTCACTGTAATAATTGCGGGCTTTGGCAATAGTGCCACGATCATGGGGGAACACACAGTGAGGGGCCTTTTTTTGTGAGAACAAGGGGGGTCAAGCCCTGGTTGGTAGCCTTACACCTGAGAAGTTTTACTACCACCATGCTATGAGCACCTTCTCAGAAAGTTGCCCAATATGGAGTGGTAGGTAGATCTGGAAATAGAATGACAGAGCAAGGACCACAACAATTAGGTAATGAAAAGGAAATAAATTGCCATGATTAGTTTCAGTTATGTGGAGCTTACCTGTTATTTATGTTATATAGTACTTATAAGGCTTTTGTGCGGTAGCAGCTAAAAGCAAACGTGCCAGTTTGCAGTCTGTGTGTTCAGTGTATTTAGGAGGGGCTTCTTTGGCCTCTCCTTTGTACATTTCTCTCTTATATATGAAATGACACACAGCTCTCCTGCGTTGTGAGAAAAAGAAAGGTCCCACTTGAATTGATGGAACCTGAGTTAACTATTACCCTTTCTTCTATAGTAGATGTTCTGGCACATGCTTTGGTATTCTATAAACCGCTTTGCTCATTTTTTGCAGGTTATTGGCTGGTCGATGTGGTTTGCAGAGTACCTCTTTTTGGAGAGGAGCTGGGCCAAGGATGAAAAGACACTAAAGGTAACTCCCCACCTTACCTGTACAATGCATCCTAGTTTTCCTTTTTCACATAGTGAGCTTTTTAATTTTGCATACAGTGGGGTCTCCAAAGGTTGAAAGACTTCCCTAGACCATTTTGGCTAGCTCTTTTCGTTGAGGGTACTCGCTTTACTCCAGCAAAGCTTCTCGCAGCTCAGGAGTATGCAGCTTCCCAGGGCTTACCGGCTCCTAGAAATGTACTTATTCCACGTACCAAGGTACTTCGTTGTTCCCTCACTTGCATGATTCTGACATTGCAAATGTTCAGTATCTTTTCCTATGCTATACTTTTGTTTTACTGATTTAGTCTAGATGAGATTCTAATTTTTAAGTATAACTTGGCATACCCTGGAAAACTATACTGTTCACATGATTTTACTTTACTTTTTATTAGTTTGTTCACAAAATACACCTGTTGAACATAATGTTCATCGTGATTTGTATAAAGTGATAACTTTTAGCAATTTTCTGCATCATATATGTGCATGTGTGCATGTAGAAGTAATGACATTGGTGAAAACGCTTCCATTTTCTTATATGTGCAAACCTGAAAGGAAAAATGCAGATTTTTTGTACCTTGATGACACAGTAACAATTTACAATCATAAAGTTAAATCACTAATCATGAGGTTCTAACACGACACTTCAGATTAGGAGTTATTGGGAATAAATGGCTGTATCACATAGAGTAACAAATACTGAGTACTTGTCTTGATTTTATGGAATGCCTGAGAGATCTGTTGATGACAATTTTGTATAATAACTACTGAGAAATTATGGTTATATCATAGGTTTTACTCATGTACTCCCTCCATCCCAAATTATAAGACGTTTGACTTTTTTGACACCAAGTTTGACCACTCGTCTTATTCAAAAATTTGTGTAAAATATCACTTCTTTTGTCGTGGCTTGCTTTATTAATAAAAGTTCTTCAAGAATGACTTAAATTTGACTATGTTTGCACAAATTTTTTGAATAAGACGAGTGGTCAAACTTAGGGTCAAAAAAGTCATGTCTTATAATTTGGGATGGACCTAGTATTTCTGATGCCATTTTCACATGTTTGAGCAATAAAGTTATGTACTAATACCTCCTGTGAAAAAAAATCCCAGGGATTTGTATCTGCCGTAAGTATTATGCGAGATTTTGTTCCAGCCATTTATGATACAACTGTAATTGTTCCTAAAGATTCACCTCAACCAACAATGCTGCGAATTTTGAAAGGGCAATCATCAGTGGTAAGTTTTCTAACTTCATGAATAACTCAAGGCAGACCAATACAGAAAGAGTTTTGTGTCAACTGAGCACTGAAATGAATTGATTTTACTAAAGTGTCTTATCAAATTGGATACAAATATATAATATGGCGTGGAATTTCAGTGCCGAACTACTTACTGTTATGTCAACTAATGTACTACTTTTTTTCCTCTCTAGATACATGTCCGCATGAAACGCCATGCAATGAGTGAGATGCCAAAATCAGATGAGGATGTTTCAAAATGGTGCAAAGACATTTTTGTGGCAAAGGTACTGAACTATATAACGCTATTTTTTAGATGTCTTCTGATTAGATCTTGTTGAAAAGTAAAATGCTCCATATATGGTTTGATCAATTAGTTTTTAAAGTAGAACTCACAAAAAAAAAATATTTTTTAAGTAAATACTATTTGCCCCGTTTTTCATTTCAGGATGCCTTACTGGACAAGCATTTGGCAACAGGCACTTTCGATGAGGAGATTAGACCTATTGGCCGTCCAGTGAAATCATTGCTGGTAAGACCCCACTAAAATTGCATGTTACTGCCTCAGTGGCAGTGGCACCCTCACAATCTATCGATGATTATTGTCTTTGCTGAATAAGAAAAAGCTGGTCTTACTGTCATGGGCAATTGGTGTTTTTGTGTAAATCTTGTTAGAAAACAGAGTTGTACTAGTGTCCTTTTGCCAGTGAGCCAGGTTACATAAGTCAATCAAGTGTCATGTAGAATCTTGATGTTCTCAACTCATGATCTTGCAGAACCAAGCAAACAAAGTACCAGTATTAGGAATTTGTTGATTCCCCCATCTTCGCTGGCCAATTTCTGAGATTGAAAATACTAAATATGAAGTGGGACATCTGTTTTGAGCTTCTGATGGGTTTCAACTCTAGCCTACCCCAACTTGTTTGGGACTTAAAGGCTTTGTTGTTGTTGTTGTTGGACATCTGTTTTGAGTGAGCTGAAGAGAAGGTCGTGTGTTTGCATCAGAATGATCACATATTAGTTTGTGTCCCATACTCAATTGGCAGTTGTGGGGGACGGTGGTGGCCATGTTTTTGGGGTTAAGAACGCCGGAGTGGTCACTGTGCTGTGCTATATCTTATTTAGGAGTACTACCTTGTGAAACCTCTGGCTGTTGTTGCATTGCAGCAGGGAGCTCTTCCTTGGTACTTAAATAGTTGAATCTGTTGCCCATTCCATAGCTCAATGAATTTGTTTTTACCGAATGTGCATCCTAAATGTATTGATATGTCTTCTGGCTGCTGACTTTCTATTCCCGCTGATGGACCAGGTGACCCTGTTTTGGTCATTCCTCCTGTTGTTTGGTGCCATCAAGTTCTTCCAGTGGACACAGCTCCTATCGACATGGAGAGGTGCAGCATTCACTGCTGCAGGGATGGCACTTGTGACAGGGGTCATGCATGTCTTCATCATGTTCTCCCAGGCTGAGCGGTCGAGCTCAGCCAAGGCGGCACGGAACCGGGTCAAGAAGGAATGAAAATGGAGGTTGGAGATGAGATGCTGGGGTTTATTATGGCCGTCCTTCAAAAGGGTTGCAGATTGAATTCATATATTAATATATACAGCACCAAATTCCAGACATTGATATGCTCTCAAATAGGATGCTCTGCTCCTCTTGTATTTGTATGCAGGAAAGAATCGTAGGGAGTTTATTTTCCCCCCTCTTTTGGGCAGAGGAACATGAACTTGATGTTGGTACATTTGCCCTGTCAGACATATTCTGGAAGCCTTTAACTAGTTCATTTATCAGTAAAGCTTGCATCTTTAATCCATGTAGTTGTGCACCTTGTCTGTCACTCATCAGTCATCACAATGTGGTTGTGTGGGGATTGTAAGACGCACTGCTGGGTGTATTGAATGTTGTATCTGTGATGAAAAGCAAAGGATACAGGATGCTCTGTGTTCTGAAAAGCAATAGAAGTGTTTTGTGATGAAAAGCAGAGGATCCTCAAAGATGAGAAGAATCCTGAAAGACCCAAAAGTTTCTAGTTCCTATGTCAATATGTCATGCCTGCCAGATCAAGGAAAGAAAAAGAAAAAGCAGCTGCTGCAACGCTTCCCATTGCGAATTCAGCGATCGAGGCACACCATTGCAGATAAGTTTTCAGATATAGCGGTCCAACAAATGGATGCGAGGCTGCTGGAAGACTGAAACGGAGGAATCCCTCCACCCACCCGCTCCGGCTTGGCTGCCTTTGGTTGCTTAGTATTTTGTCAGCCCAATGTGGCGTACTATTTGAGAGCATATCAATGTGTACGATTGTTTCTTGAAAACAGTCTGTTTTACCTTTGTGAAAATCATGATCTGACTTTTCTGCTCATCAAACTCTAAAATCGAACATCTTTCTTCCTCAACTAGACGGTTTCATCATTTTTATAGTTAAAAAAAATCCAGTAATACTTGATAGTGTTTTTTAAACCACGACAAATGGATCAAACCATATATGGGGACATGAAAAATCCAAAAGATTGATGGGGTCATGACAAATCCAAATAAATATTTAGAGCTCATGAAAGTATATCTAAAAGTTTCTAAAAACTAGATTTAGCTCTAGGCAAATGGAAAAAATATCCAAACAATTTGGTAAATTCCCAAAACATTATAATCGATGTCTAAATGTTTTGAAAACCTTCTACAATAGAAAAATATGAGATGCAACCAGGATAAATGCATTGAGTGTTAAATGCATGTTCTGTTCTTGTTAGTTGCATATCATGTTTTTGTTGTGAAAAGTTTTTAAAAATAAAGGCGACCACATATCCATGAAAGAGGATCCATGTACGACTGCTTCATAGAAGGCAGGGAAGGGTGAGAGGAGGAGTGGTGAGGATCCTGAGCTCGGACCTCTATGCTGCCTTACCATTGTCGATTTGAGGAAGGTGGCGCGTTGGGAAGGGAGGGATGAGCGACAAAGGGAGGGAGAGGGGCCGTGGAGAGACATGGATGGAGTGGAGATAGGAGAACTATGGAGAGAGCGTGGATGAGCACGAACGTGATTTGATAAGCTGCATACATGAATGGTTAAAAACTAACTTGAATAAAAATGTTGGGTCCAAACCCCATCTTTTAGTGCTATCACCACCACCAGTGTTTAATGATAACCAATAGTGACAATGAATTATCTTTGTGGTTTTTAAAGCAACCTACAGTAACAATGAGTTATCACTGCTAGTTTCAAATGAAAAGAAACGAGAACTTTGCACTTGCAGTTTTGAATCAACCGACAATGTTGTAGCTGGTAGTGATAGCCACTTATGTGGTAGTAAGACATGGTAGGTGGTTGTGGTGACAATCCAGCCCATCCTTTGCATTCCACCACATGGTACACTCTAGGCAATGTTGGACCTTCAATGTTTCCATGTTTGTTCCCCTTCCTCTGTTGTGAGCAAATCCATTGTTAGAGTCCTAAAGGAAGTAAAGTAGATTAGAGTTATCTTGCCTTTTTTACTTTGGATGATACTAGCTCAGTATCCTTTGCTTAGTTTTAGTATTAAGAAGGATGATTTAGGAACCTAGTCTTGTCTGGCTGTCTTCCCAACTATCTATATCCTTTTTTGTGTTTATTGTCTCAACTAACCTCAACTATCTTCTATTTTCCAACCATATGGTACAACTATCTGGGGTTGTTGTGCATCCAAATTCTAAGTCCCTTCTGTGTTATGCCTTAGGAATAACATTTTTTTTCTTACAATGAGGGTGAGGAAATACTAAATCACAAGGACTACAAGCATTCTTTCCATAAAGAATACCACCCATGGTTTTAAGTCCAACGTTACAAAGAGGCGGTGAGGGATGGCAACTGGCAAGCTCTATGGGAGGTGAATTATGGGAAAAATGGGCAATGAAAGGGGAACCTCACACCATCCACTCTCCACTGCAAATGATAGAGATCTAAAATAGAAGCATCACATTGTCTAATTAGTGAATTACATAGAGGAATTATAATACCTAAATGTTCGATTACAATTGAAAAATAGCCTAAAAATTTCATGGAAATGAACCGAAGTATATTTTAGTAGTATTTTACGAGGCCTAAAAAGGGACACCCCCTCAAAAGTAGAGAAAAAGCATAGACCAGACATTTGGTACATACACTTCAAGTAAGATAGGATTAAAAACTTGAGAAAAGGGTAAAAACTAATCATCCTTTGATACACATATACTAGACTAGCTTTCTCTACTATAGCAACAAAAGCCAACAGGGGGCTAGGTTCTATACGGGGTGAAACACTACCATACAAATGAACATTATTCTCTGCAAACTTAAACTGACATTATATCATCCCAAAAAAGTTGCATAAACCTAAGCTTTATCCTTGTAGGAAATCCACAATCCATAATCTTACATAAAACATAAATCCCCCTTAAAGAAAAGGGTCATCTAAGGATATATATTTCATCGCTTCGACTGATCCCCCCGCCTAGCTCTACATGTGAGGTTCAAAATTTGCACTTGAAGCACCTCCACTCCTCTCTTCAACTATTATGACAAATGTTATATGTGAAAGATTCCTTGGCAGCATTATTCCTACACAAGGCAAAGATGTCATTATTAGTAAATAATACAAACCGCGTAGCATGATAAAGAGCACCCAAATAAAGTTGTGCTTCCTTGGTGTCAGTTACATGTGAACAACGAGCAATTGATATTTGCATATGAAATAAGCTTAAAGGAATAGTTGATCAAGTCTATAATGCAATAAGGGCAAAAGAGCATTATAAGTTGTAAAATCATTATAAGTTTAGACACATTAGAAGTCCACAATCCAGAAAAAGGCCAATTATTACCATCGCTTCCCAAAAGAACAAAATATAGGTCTATGTCCCATAAAGATAAAGGCCTCAAGCTGCAAAGTACTCCCACCGTTCCAAATTGGAAGTCATTTTGACTTTCTTAGATACAAAGGTTTACTATGTATCTAGACATAATGGATATCTAGGTGCGTAGTAAAAGCTATGTACCTAGAAAAGCCAGATTGACTTATAATTTGGAATGGAGGAAGTAGCTAATAAACTGTATCAGTCAAAAGAGTGGGCAATCACAAAGTATTCTACATTCAAATCAGCAGGTTTCACATATACCACACATCATATTAGATTTACTCATTTACCAACTTCTGTAAGTAAACTCAATCAGTTCACACACCATCCTGTACCAAACAAAAGGGCAATCATATAACATAATTGAACAAACTCTTCTCATGGCACATATGCAAGGAATAATCTTAGAGAACATTTAACATGGTTAGTGATTTTGGAACCATAGGGAGGCCTAGGATCACAAAAGAAAAACAACACAAAAATTCCAAAACCAAATCTTGGATGCATTAAGTAAAGTCTGTTAAGTTCAATCGACATTGCACACTAACATTGTCAAGATGCTTGGATCTAATAATTGAAAACTATCAAAAATAAATTAATGAAGTGTTGAAAGCCGGATAATGATATCATGACATAAGAAACAAACTATCTAACCATTTTTGTAACATCATGCTCAAAAGATCCAGATGTCGAAGTTGTGTCTCCATAGATGGAGCCACCACCTATTGATGAATCTCCAAAGTTCCTTGCATACCCATTGGTTGATTGGTTTAAGTTACTGACACCACTTGATCCAACATTCCTTCCATAAACACTGGAACCTTGATCAAAGTTGGTTTCACTAGACCCATAACCAAAGTTTCTAGTACAGCAAACAAAGCAATTATTGGCACCTAGAGCAGGCACATGATGAGGGTTTCCCCAATTCACATTATTGTTCCCAATTCCACTAAGCAGGTCCCCATTTCCAAATGGCACAAAGAAATTAGAGCTTGTGGAACTAGAAGAGTGATTAAGGCTAAAAATACCCCAAAGGTTACGAACTAGTGAGTCAAATAGTAAACCATTATTTTCATTGACTCCACCATAGCTAACATAGTTGTTGAATCCACCTGAATTTCCATTGTAATATGGATTAAGATGCCATCCACGCTGGATATCACTATTGAAGCTAGAGCCACTTTCAATACATGGGTTCATCCATGCATCAAAATTCATTCCAATTCCATAACTACCACCAAAAGATGGATAACCATTGTTCCCATCTGATAGAAGACCAAAACATTCATCCATCCTCATTCCATAGCCACCTAATGGACTCATATTATAATGCTGGGTATATCCATTAAGGAAGCTATTGGTTCTACCAGTTACATAATTGAACCCATTGATAGGAGAGCACATGCCAGGTCTAGGAGACGGTTCCTTAGGAATAGCTCGCTTGACCTCAACCCTCTTACCTTTCAATTTATGGAATGTCTTAAATAATGCCCTATCCATGGCATCTTCTGAATCATACGTGATGAACCCAAAGCCTCTAGGGCATTGTGTGTGGTGGTCATATATCACGACAACATCAGTGATTGTTCCGAATTGTTTAAAGTACTTTGTAACGTCTTCCTTTGTCACGGTGGAAGCTAGGCCACCGATGAATATCTTCTTTCTGTGTCTGGGCCCTCATGATCCATGAGCACTACCATGACTATTGTTGAGAGCATGCAGATCATCTCTAGGAATAGCTTTCTTTGCCTCTACCTAACAAAACAAACCCAAATATATTGCATTATTTGCAATCAGGTAATTAATACAAGCTATATATGAACTAACATAATATAGAAACATGGATCTAGAATCTTCTAATAAGCTTAGGATTTGTAAACAACAATAATTTACTCACCATCCGACCATCAATCATATGCTTCTCCATGATGACATGCTTGGCTATAGCAGGGTCAGCAAACACGATGAACCCGAAGCCCCAGCTACGACCAGTAGCCTGATCACGCATGATGATAGCCTCCTCCACCTCCCCATACTTCCTGAAGTACTTCAGAAGGTGGTCCTCATTGGTGTCCCATGAGATTCCATTGATGAACAACTTCATAGCATCTGCCTCCATCTCTTGTTGGACCGCCGCCATGAACCACCTCGCACGCACTCACACACGAAGGAAACAACTTTTGGCACCAATTGCAACAAATTCTTATGCGACAGTATGCTTGTCAAGAGGGCACACATATTAATCTGAGACGGGGTAGGAAAGCTAGGATCTTGGTTCCTAGAGGAGCCGTAACAACCTCAAAGGACACACAACCGCCACCACTTCCCCCTCTAGTTCACTTCCTCTGCCTATTGTTCTCCCCCCTCTCTCTATCTCTCTTCCTCCCTCCCTCTCTCTCTAGCTTTACTTTTTATTTTCCCCACTATTCCTCGACTTTTTTAGAAGATGTCATCTAGAGCGTTATATATAGTTGTACTATAGTTTTTGTGCCCCATTTCCTACCTTCTTTTGATCCCTCACTCTTCTCTGGTTTAATGCTTACAAAATCATGCACATTTACTCCTAAAATATATTTCCATTTCATCCCATTATAGAATAAATTCTAAGTTAATTCCTGTAGTGCTGATTGAATCATTTTGTTACCTTTGTGAAAACATTAGATTATTGGGTGAAGGATGCACACAAATATTGTACTCCCTGAATAAGAGAAGAGTTAAGTTTAATTAAATCTACCATGGTATAAGATCCACAATTTCTTGCCCTTCTTTTCTCCTCTTTTTGTGGTAAGAATGAGCAACTGACAACTTTTTCCGAGGCTCCCTAGCAATGACGTACACGCTTCTTATGTGAAACACATTTATCGCTCTTCTCACAAAAGTATACGCTCTTCTCATGCTGGCATTGTTTCTTTCGTAACAAAATGGTTTGTATTACTAATAATGCCACCTCCACGTATCATGCTCCATCCATCTCCATCTAAGAAGTTTGTTACATGCTCATGTGTTCCACCACCTTGTGGTCATGTGTTTTTGTCATCATGCCACACCATTTTCTGAAAGAAGTTGGGAGAAGTGTTCAACCACCATAGTGGCCCCATCTATGTGTTGATATAGTGCCTAGCTTGGCAAACAACTTGTTATAGATGTGATCCAACTCCGAAAGGTGTGACATGGTTTACAACAAAATGAATGAGAAAAACTTTCAATAGAACAACTACCCCCATGCCCTTATCAAAATCTGGTTTTGTTTACAACTTGCTTTGAAAGATGGAACACATATAAACATCTCTAATAGCCTCTTCATGTGGCAGAACTGCCTAATCTAATACCTCTCAGGAGTACTTGTCTTCCATTAGATGCTAAGTACTCAAGAGAGGACACTAAACTATGCAGTTCCGTCGAGCACATCCCAAGGGAGAACTCAAAAATCCATATTTTTCTATCAGGATCATAAATGATAGAATAAAGCTTACAACATTCTTAAGTCATTTCTTACATCACTTTATTACAGTAACAAAATATTACCTCAATTGATTATAATAGCAGAATATAACAATGTTATCAGAGTTATAGAGGAAGCAAAGATTAATTTAATGACATGGTGGAGCATTAACGTAGTGGACATTTATATACAAGAGATGCTAGCAGATTTTACATCTTTTCTTATAAAAACCTTTAGTGAGGGTTATAAAGAAACACTACGGTCGTAGCATGAAAGGAATCCTCTCTTAGCTCACCAGGAGGTTTCCACACATAAGAATCAGCTCTATGTATCCTCCGATCACCTGCAATAGAGAGAATAAAACCCTGAGTACTCGATTGTACTCAGCAAGACTTATCCGATAGGAGGAAAATAAAAGACTCCAAGGATATGCAAGGCTTTCTGGCTTGTGGGTTATTGCATCTGCAGGAAGCATTACTAAACATGCGTCCTTATATTAAATTTTATTAGCAGTCATCATTAGTTCATTAACTATCCATTCTATGTAAGCACCTATGCTACTTTCAAGAAGGTGATAAGCAATCAGAACCATTTTATCACCTTTTAAGTTCTAGTTTTTACTACGGTGCTAGACCATAGCCAAGTCGGTACCATCTCACAGAAACGACGATTCGTGAATCAATGTATCCCAGCTAGGTACCCTAAAACACACGCCTCACTTGTACCCTAGGCACAAACAAGACCAACACGCTCCATTCCTGCACGGGGTCCAGGTCCCCATCCAAACTTGGACTCCAAGCCCCCACACTTGAGACCCGATCTCATTATGGTGCTTAGACCTCCATCTTTCTCCGCCTCCAATCAGTTGGTTTGAAAAGAGCTGGAACCCATGATAAGAGCGTAACAAGTCTTCCCGCTCCCATAAGCAAGTATGTGCTCAAGATAATAAGTCTGTGACCTGACTACCATCCACAGCAACGGATGGTACTCAATCGACATAGGAGGAACAAGTGCAATCCGAGCCTCGCTCGAATGCCTAACCAAGTCCAAATCAAAGTACCATTCCACCCGGTCTCCAATTATCATTCATATATATATTCCATGTGATAGTAATATAATAACAACAATAATATATTTCCTATCTCTCGCGAGTGATAGGTAATCACTCGACTTCTACTGGGTTCTATAGCATAGCAACCTACACGATCCTGACATACTAGTAGGACTCATAGGATAAAGATATATATATATGCAAGTGGATTTTCATTCAACTCCTTAAAACTTAATGCACAAGCATAAAATAAAGTGTAGAATAATAGGGGTTATGCACCGGGGCTTGTCTGGGTAAGATATAACCAAAAGTTAGCATTCCATCATGGAGACACAATCATCAAGGCACCATCTTTTCCGCTACTCCAATCATCTCCATGATCCATCGTTGTTCCTATTATGATATACGTGGATGCAACGTAGAGACGTAAATAATCAATGGCAACCGAAACTCTTAGAAATACGATTACGCTCACAAGCTAACGAGCTAGCTTTAATGACTAACATACTAGTCTACTTATCCCCATCGTCAAGTAAAGGCTTCGCCTCCGGAAAAATGTTTTAGTTCTAAAATCCCAAGGTGTTTCAGCATTTTATTGATTAAACATATATTTTCGAACTAGGGCTCATTTAGCTACCTTAGCAAACTAATTATTATGGAGCTACAAAAATTACAGTGACCACCTAATAATGTTAGAAAATTATTGTGAAAGTTTTAGAGCCAACACTATCACCAATTTATCACAAAAATTCCTTTAAGTTTATATCTTAACAACATTAAGCATCTCAAATTAATTAGATCACTTCTGAAAATATTATAAAACTATGTGAACAAAATATACTAGCAGGTAGATCATGATTTTTGAAACCTAACAAAATTAGTTTCACAATTTTCGGTTAACTACACAATTTTATATTGAATTTACAAGTTTACCTTAGAAACTAAATTAGAAAATGCTTAGAAAAGGAAAAGGGTCGGTGGCAACCATTCAGCCCAGCAGCCCTGGTTGGCCCAACGTGGAACGCGGGCGCGGCAGCAGGCTGGCCCAGCAATGGCCCAAGGCCGGGGGCGCCCGCGCGCGATGGCGCTTTGCAGAGAAGCCCCCGTGTTTTTAGATAATAACATGACTACTTTGCACACTATTCCTACCGTCAGTAATCTTACAACTAAACCTTCGGATGTTTTCACCTTTACCACGGGGAGGTCCCTGGGGATTCCCGCGCGCGCCGGCGCGCCGGCCGACGGCATAAGGCGGTTACGCCAGGCAACTTAGGCATGCTACGACGGAAGTAAGGGGCCGACCACCATCTACAGCTAAACGCGCAAGGATGGGTGACGGTTAGGGACTTGGAGGTGCACCGTCGTGGGCTACAGCGGCGAGCGGCTATCCACGGCGGCGGTGTGACTATTTCGATGACCTAAGGTTCTATCAGGGTGGTAGGGATAGCGGGTAAGCACCAGTAGCTCACCAAAATTTGTGCTGCAGTGGCGGTTGAGGCGGAGGAGTGCCGAGATGGCCTAGCCACGTGCGCGTAGTGATATCGATGGCGCTGCAAGGTTGACACCGACACGTCAGGTCCTCACTCACGTCATTCCTGGTCAAACAAAGATGAGCAACAGCACGAGGGAACCAAGGTGAGCTCATAGGAACAACTAGTTGAACCCCTACCGAGGGGTAGGGCCTTACCCCCAAGTCATGCTCTGTTTCGAAGGCGTGATGACCAGCGGCCACGCAAACACTAAATTCGTCCACGCCGAGGCGAGGCAAAGGCTCGATAGGGGTCGCCTGGCTTGTCGACTCCCTAGGCCACTTGTTGGTGCAAGGAATTGAACTGTGAAGCTTTGAGCTCAGCGAATCGAGAAGCAAAGCGTGTGGTGCACCCGCTGTGGTCATGTCATGGAGAAAAGCATGCGGATGAGCTCGAGCGGTAGGGCGTGTTAAAGCAGGGCTCCAGTCAATGGTGGCAGAGCGAGCTCATGCACATAGGTGATGAGACCAGGCGGCTTAGCATGACACGCTTGAATTGGAGTGACTAGACCTGAGCTAGTCGCATCGGCGTCGGCTTGCGAGGGCAAGTGAGGCAGGGAGGCATCCCATCACCACCCTGAAACTGTGGTCGGCTGACCCAGACGCGGCGAGCGGCGACACGGACTCGTGGTAGGTGAATCACAGGGCAGGGCGATTGCCACGTAGCCATGTGTCACACCCGATTTTAAGGATAAAATAGGATGCATAATCTTATGTGCACCCAGAGATCAGTCACACACACAAGCCGACAAATTATAGATAGTACCATCACAAGTGCTTATTACATCACATATAATAAGACAGAGTCTTCACATAAATGTAGCGGAAGTATAAAGAAAAATCTATCGCAGAAGCTCCATGTCACAGGGACATCAACTGGTTGACCACAAGTCTAGTAATCCTCAGGAAAGTCGTCATTACCATAGCCATCTGTTACCCATCCGGGATTTTTATCCAAATAATAAAAATAAACATGCGTAAGTACGTGTCGTACTCAGCAAGTGTAACATGGGGTTCATGAGGCTCAAAAGGCTTGACACAAGTTTAACAACATTCAGCTTTTAGTTGTCACCATTTTAGCATAAGAGTAGTAACAAGTTGTTTTAATCCCAAAGTAAA